TTTGGTGGAGAGGGGGAGGAGACGGAAGAGGAGGAGGAGGAGGAGGAGGAAATTTACGACTGTGGAGTGGAGGGATGCGCCAAGACCTTCGCGCATGCTCACGTGGGGGGGGAAGACGGTGGGGCGCCGAGGGAGTTCGCGTTCTCGGTGAACGAGGCAGCCAATGCGTGAGCTGAACGACAGGAAAGCAATATACAAATGCTGGGGCGCCAGATTTAGCGCGCATGCCCGCACCCACACACCCTGGACAGCTCGCTTTGAGGGGCTTCCTGACATTGCTTTCGGGGCTGCCGGAAAAGCCTTTTCTCCTTGACCCTCCTCCCGTGCCGCTCCCTCCCTTACCCAGCAAATCTTCCGCGGCGGCATTTTCGGTCGGCTACTGACTTGAATATTCACACTTCACCCTTTCCTACCACCTGCCCGATCGCTATACACTCCCTTCTTGCTCCACTAGTGCGGCCTCCAGGTCCCCCTTTTCCCCTTCCACCCCATTCCTTTCCGAGATCCTGCCTGACGTGTCATGCTCCTCTTCCCCACGCTTCTCCTTCCCTCCTCCTTGAGAAAGTCCTCCGTGGTCCCTTGCGGGTTCTGGACGGGATTTTTCGGTGTATTTCGCGACCGATTTCGTCTCTGACACGTCCGCACAGTCCGAATCGCCTCTCGTCGGCACTGTAGTTGCTGCATTTCTTCGTGGTGGACGCGGGGTAGGGAATGACGAAAAAATGCCTTGATCTCTTCTCCCTCCGAACAGTCTTCGTCCATCGTCTGGCCTCCTTTTTGCCCCCCCACGAAATTCCTCCTCCTCCTCGTCCCCGTACAGAGCATCAAAGATGTCTTCCCCGTATTCCTCATCTTCTCCCACTTCGTCGATAAAATGGCCTTCGTCACATCGTGCATCGCTCAGATCAAATCGTGCATGACCATGTCTCTGCGGGAGTTCTGTGTACTGGACCGGAGTTTCGCTTCCCACGCCGCGCTGTCGGAAGTATCGATACCACAATTGCACAAGACATACAAGGAAAAGGGCGAAGATGGCGCCTGCTATACCCAAATATACAACCGGCCACAAGCCATGCAGTTCAAACATGCCGTGTTGCGGAATAGGGTCCCTGTGGCCTCCAGACCACCAAAGGCTTTAGCCGTAGAGGCGACGGGTGGAATATGGCTTGGCGTCAATGTCAAAGTAATGTCCCCTTGCCTGTCGTACGGATCGTATTTCTGTGTGAGCTCAAGACAAGGCCTCGATTGATGGAGTACCAATGGTAAGCACTGAAATAATTGCATTCTAGATCGCCTTGGCACGTTGCATACAAACGAGACTCCTCCTTGACCCAAGTTCATCCTTTCAGAGATGTAGCGCGATTAACGATTGTTATTCTCAAAGTGTGCGAGTTTTGAGGGACGAGTACTTCAAACGACGTGTCTCCTTTGTATTTCGTGTTTCACAATACTTCCAATCTCACCCAGGTGAATTGCAGGATCACACTATAAAGAGTGCTCGCTTTGGTCACTCGACCTCGGGTAACCTCCCCACCCCTGCAAAGCTTTCATTCTGCCACGGGCTTCGCACATCAATAACGCAGAACTACAGAATAAGTGCGTCGGTCTCAACATGCCGCATCTTTCTGTGCCAGCATCAGCCACAAGTGCTGCGGTTCTCCACCTTTACCGGCGTATTATCAAGAACGCCAAGGTGTTTCCTAGTAAAGGTCGCGATCGCATGCTCAAGGAAATCAGGGAAGGTAATGTTCCGAATACATCCTTTCCATTTTTCCTCGACCAAGGGCGACACTTTGATAAAAATGTTGAAGACTAACTTATTTGTAGACGCGGTGTCTCTTCCATCCTTTTCCCACTGGGGATGCTCGTGCCAAGACTGAATGATTCACGGAATGCCCCCCCGAGCATGAAAAGAAAAGATTAGAATGCTTAGATCTCTTTTGCCACCGGAACTTCACGCCACAGAGTTTCGCCTCAATGCCAAAGAAAGCGACCCGGAGAAGGTTAAGCACCACAGGAGTATGGCAATCCAGGGACTGAGTCAGTTGCAGGCCTACACGGGATTGGAGGACTCGGACATGGACTGGAGCGTCACAATGGAGCAAGCGCCATTGGGGGGGCTATCGGAGGAAAAAGTGGAGGAGAAATTGCGTCGCGTCCCACAAATGGCAATGACCTCCGGGAAGGACGTCGCAGACGAAACAGGGCAAGAAAACGATGACAGGAGGAAGTAGGAGGAGAAAATCAACCACTGTTGAGCACGTCACTGCCTGGGAGTACACCAATATTGATGCCAATGATCGCTTCTAGCGCTTTGTTTTGCTTCCATTCATCGTGTGCGGTGAACAAGATCGCAAGAAGAGAGGTGGCCTGCGAGATGCCGCCGTTCCACGTCATTACATGCATCACTTTCTCCTTTCTCGCAAAGTTTCGCCCTTTCACCCCTTTTTCGGGCTTCAGGCCCTCAATCAAGCCTTCGTCATATCCCCCATAGTATCCTTTCCCCTCCTTACTTCTTGTTGATGACCTCGATTCCCTCTTTGCCAGCCACAATCACCGCGGTGGTCATGTCCAAGAAGAAACCGTGCTCCACCACCCCCACCACTCCCTCCAAGGCCCGCGCCACCGCTTTCACGTCCGCGATCGGATCCGTGTAGTACAAATCCACAATGTAGTTGTCGTTGTCCGTAACGTAGGGCTTGTCGCCGTCCATGCGCAGCTTCCCTGTGGCTGCGCCCTTGACCCCCGGGAGCTCCAGAATCGTGCGTTGAGTGTGTTCATGGCAGAAAGGGGTGATTTCCACGGGCATGGCTCCCGTCACGCCCAATCCCGGAACCATTTTGCTGTCATCCACGATAACGATGAACTTCTTGGCGCACACCTGCAGGGAGAAGACGGGAGAGAGGGCCGGAAGGTGGGGGGGCAGGAGGCAGAAGGATGCCCGAGGGTGGGCGTCGTTTCATACGCGATATTGTATCGACCGGAGAGACCAAGGATCTCTTCTATCCTCCGCGTCCTCCTCCCTTCCTCTTCTCTGACCTCCATTGCCCCCCTCCCCTTCCCCGCTACCAAGCCCCTGAAGCCGTCTTTCACTTTCCTCTTCCTCGTCTAGCATGTCCCTTCCTTCGTATCCGTGTCTCCCACCCTATCATCTCTTCTTTTCCCCTCTTCGTCTTCCTATCTTTCTGTCCTCGGGCTTACCTCCACCATCTTCTCGCGCAATAAGGCCCCTCCACGTCCCTTGACCAAATTCAGGGCCGGGTCTACCTCATCCGCGCCGTCAATCGCCACGTCCAAGACGGAGTGAGAATCGAGCGTCACCAAGGGAACGCCCAGACTCTCTGCTTGCTCCTTGGTTCGGATGGAGGTGGGGATGGCCACTATGTCCTTTAACTCACCTGCTTTAAGCTTCATGCCCAATCGCTCCACTGGCGAACATGAATTGGACATGGATGGGACAAGGGGAAAAATAGGCGGGGGATAAGTAAGATGGTCAATGAGGAGCATCAAAAGAAGGGTTTCGTTGGGTTCTTGTGGGAAAGTTGACGCGGTAGGATCGACAGCAAGGAGGGAGGGAAACGACGAGGCAGGGACAAAGGGCGCCATTCAAAGGACAAGGTGGTCTTCATGTTGCCACGCGGGGTTTTTCCTCGTAGATCTATCGAACCATCACTCCACTGCGGGAGACAGAACGTCCCAGAGAGGCATGAGAATATAGCGGCATTTATACTCTTCTACTTCGATACCTACAGCCTCCCTATGTACCTACCAGCAAAAGCGGCAGTGGAGCCAGTGCCCAAACCCACAACCATTCCACTCTGCACGTAGTCGTCCACCGATTTGTAGCCCACTTGCTTCTTCAATTCGTCTTGACTAACCGCAAAGCGGGCGGTAGAAGAGGCACGTTGAACACATAGGGCTGGGCCGTTGAGGGGTTGCTTCAGGGGCAGAATAAACGCGGACGCGCCGACAGTGACCATGGCCATCACAGAGAAGATATTCTTTTGGCGGGCCATTTCTATATGTTAAGATGTAAATGAAGGGTCTAGGAGTGCGGGATAATAAAGGCGATCAAAAAAAATCATGCTGTTAATGATGTCCTTGACTGACTTGCACTGGCAAACGACCGGGGCATTATAATCCAAGTGCCAGTGCCCGAAACAAAGCAACATCCTGCCCCACGAGACAATCTTAAAAAGCGTCTACGCATCATATCAACCACCAAGCCGAGCATCCATCATCAGGACACCAGCAATCCAAATAATTCCCCCCTGCCCACGGCCGGAGGAAATTTGGCGTGGGGGTGGTCCGAACCCGTTGGCTCGCTCTTTACCATACGATCTTCCCCCCCCCC